TTGGATTAAGAAAAAAATTGGGATCCTTTATTATTTTTTTTTATTTTAATCCAGAATTTTGAATTTTAAATTTATAAAATTTGGTTTTAAAGTAATATTTTTTATAGATCTAATAATAAAAACCTAAATAATCATAATTATTGAATCAAAAAATCTAACTGTTCTAAATATTGGGATTTCTTTTCTATTTCTAGAGAATCAAAAGTTTTGATTTAAAACCGATTTGATATTCTTTAATTATCTTATTCTATTTCTTTATAAAATAACTTTGAATCCATTTATTGGTTTAAAAAAGAATTAATATATAAATTTTTCCTATAATAATTAATTAATCAGCATTTCTTTTGGATCCTTTTAATGAAACTTAATGCATTTTAGTTAGGATATAAAAGGGAATTTGAAATTTGTATTTAGTTTAAAAAGTTGAATTTATATTCTTTTAATTCTGGATAATGAATAGTTATAATAGAATTAAATAATAAATTTCCAATAATAGATCATTATAACATATTATTATATGTTTAAATAAAATATTAATTGGATTATCTAAACAATGTAACCTAAAACTTATTCTAATTTAGAGTATAAAATTTCTTCAATAACTGATATATTGTCTATTCTAAAAAGGTAACAATCATAACTATCAAAATCATTAGAAAAATTTGAATTTTTTTTATTACTTTAGCTGCAACTTTTAAGTCAGTTTCTTAACTAATAATGTAATATTTGTTTAAAAAAAAATATATTTTTAGTAATTATTGAATATAATTCCATTATCGATGATAGATTTTGTTATTTCAACACAATTTGAGAATAAAAATTTTTTTATCATCTATACCTGTATATTATTTTTTAACAATTCAAATTCTTTTTGACTATCTTTAATTAACTTAAATATATATTTATATACAAGAATCCATGAAATCTGGATAAATAATCATTAATAGTATTTTCATTGGCACAATAGTTTCCAAAAATAAAATAATCTTATGAACATCTAGCGAAAAAAAATTATTTCTGTTACTGATTCATATATCAAGAAATCTTATGATATCAATGTATTTTTTAAAATTTATTGTGACTATAATTTTTTTGCAGATCTTATTTATTGGAAAGATTCCTTATTAAGAAAGGCTCTTTTATAAAGCAAATCAATTTTCATATATCACTTAAATCATTTTGTAGTATCAAATATCTATATCAAGTATTTTAGATTAAAAGCTTTCTTTCACATAAAAATTATGAATACCTTATTTCAGATGTTTTCAAGATATTTTTGTAACCTTAGAGTTCTATTTAATTATATCTGATAATGAATACTTAAAAAATGTTTAGTAAATGAATTAATATCAAATATTAATAATTAAAACTCCATTTAAATTTAGAAAATAGGTGTCATCATTTAATTTAATGAATTTGAAATACAATCAATATATGAATCTAATTGAAGAAGTATTAGATGTATTGAATTCGTTTAGAAAAATCTAAACTTTCCTAAGTTTCTTTATCTAAATTATTGAAATATATTATTTATTTACAAATTCTCTTCCATATAAAACTGAATTGGAACAAATATCAGATAACCCAATTGTCATTTAATGACACCAATTCAATAATTTAATATAAAGAAAAAAATAAAATAAATTATGAATAAACAATGAAGTTTACAAAGCTTAATCTCATTAAAAGGTATTTGAAGTTTATTTATCTAATTTTTTATACATTTTTCAGGATTTATTGATAATGTATTATCAAAATGTGTTGACATAATGGAATAATCTAAATGAATTGAATATTTAAAGAATAAATATTCATCTCAATTGAAAATTTAAATATCTGATTCCAATTTTTTTATATATACATATTAATAATTATTATTTATAAATTTAATAGAATAAAAAATTACATATTATATAAAATAAAAGAGTGGATTTTATTGAAAACTTTCGGGGGGTTTCTACTTTAAACATCAAAAAGATCGACAATTAAAAAACTAACAATTTATATAATATATTATACTCTAAAGAATCTTAAAATCCTATTAAAAAACAATTATCATAATCTTTTGTTTTTTATTATTGTTAAAGACACTAAATCAGGGTTAAAACTTAAGCAAATTTATATTCTTCTTTTCAAGTATTTGCCAATTAAGAGTATATTTTATATTCTGTAACACCAAATGCTTCTTCCCATATTAAACCCTAGACTCTTCTTTCTATTCCTCAGATTTAGAATTTTTATATAAACCTTGGAGAAAGCTCAACTAAGAAGTTTGAGCTATATTAATATGTCTATTCCTTATTTAAATTATTAATTTTCACATCATAATACAATTAATATTTTATTAAACTTATTTTTCTATTAAAATGATCGAATCAGATTTAAAGCAATATGAAATGCTCAAAATGATAAAAATTCAGATAATATCCCCTCTCGAAGCTAGGTGGGTGGAGAGAATCATCCCATTAAAATAAATATTAGCTTTTATTTATTATGAAAATGGAGTTTATTAATTGTATGATATAAATAAACAAGTAATTACTTAAAAAGGATAGATTTCATAGAATATAAAGTTTTTCCTTGAAATTTACACAAAGTAATATTTTTAAATATTTAGTATTAGTGTTTTGATATTTCATGATCCCATAGATCTTTAAATAAAATTATTAGACTTGAATACGAATTAAATTAATCCTAAATTTGTGTTTAAATCAAGTGACCAAATAGATATCAAGAGTGATTAAGAAACTAAAGAGAAATTTGTAGATAGTATTATATAATATAATATTTTGGATTTAGAATTTTCTTTATTGATTGTTATAAGAACTAAATTAAATATTTGATATCATAAGATTTAGAAAACTATTACTCAAAAAAAAATGTCTGTCATTACACTATAAGAGTTTTACCTTTATATTATAATTCTTAAACTAATTTTGAATTAACACCTATTGTTAAATATGATTATTAAAATAGTTTTTCATAAAAGGAGTTATACAATTGGTAAGTAGATTAAGAAACTATAGCAGTATATGGATAGGATAGTGATAATTTTAAATCAGAAATTCTTCTTATCAAACCTCATTTAATGGAGCAGGCATTCTATATTATTCACACTAAATTTGAATGTTCATACACAACAATGAATTTAACAAATTGGATTAACCCTAACTAAGTTGCTATTTGGGTAAATTGTAATGATGAGTCAACAAGGCCAAGCATTTTTTGTTTTGATTTAAGGAGGTATTATAATGGTAAAAACTGGTTACCTGAACCTTAATTTATAGCAACTTTGGTAATCATTAAAACTTAAAAATTACTAGGCTAGAGATGAATATATTAATAATGAACCTTAAGTTTTTATGGATATTTTTCAATTTTAATTAGAATCAACTTACGTAGTTCATTTAAGACAAGTTGAAAATGAGTGCAAGATCTCTGTCATCAATTATGAAAATATTTAAGAACCATAAGTTGTTAGTGAAATTATTGTTGATTCGTTTTGGATCTTGCCTGCTGTCGATCATTCTTGGATTATATTATATAATGATCTTGGGTATACAATAATTTTATTATCTTAGTATTCACAATTAATAAATCAGTTTTAACATTTTAATTAATTTGAACCCATTTCACGATGGATATTATTTATTAAATTTTTTTGAAAAATAAAAAATAATTGAAAAATATGGTATTCATGTAGTTGAAGAAATATTTGAATTCTATTTTTGAAGATCTAATAATAAATTTAATTTTAATTATCAAAATTAAAAAAATTCTACATTATTTAACTAAATAATTAAAATATTTTTTAAATCAAAAATTGAATAAGTCTTAACAATTGATTATATCAATTACAAAATAGAATACTTAATAAATCTATATTAGATATTCTATAAATCTAATTGATCATTTTCTTCAGTTTATTCAGAGTTGAATTTTTAATGAATCAATATTTCCATCATTAATCTTTAGAGTAGTATTTAAGACTTTAAGATTGCTGGTAGAGATTCGGTTCCATATGGATCTCAGTTCATTAACATATAAAAATTTTTGAATTTTATTAATTGTTAATCTTAATCATGTTCAAAAGTTATACTATTTAGATTTCCTGTATAAGGAAATCAACTTAATTTTATTTATTAACTAAGTGATGAATAAATAATTTTGAGATATATAAACTTTAGTATTATATTTAACGCTGATATATAATCCATTTACTATTCATGAAGAAATAAATTTTTAAAGGCAAGGCTCAATGATAAATAATGTATCTTTAATTTTTCATTATTATTTGATTTAAATTACCTTTCATATTTTCTTTAATAATATTGATGAACAAGTAAATCTGATTTACTTTATAAATACAAACACAATGCCAATTTTTCATAATTTATTTTAAAACTAATGCAAATAATTTTATTTGCCTCTCGATTGTAAGCTAAGAACTTTTTTGAATCAATTTTGATTATGAAAGAATTTTACCACCATTCTCATTTATCTCAAAATTGTTATAACAGGACCAAAGCCACTCCCTCCAGTTCTGCTAATCTATTTATTAGAATTTATTCAAATAATTATACTTCCCTAAACTTAAATGGTTAATCCTGCTAAGGAGAGTTAAAGCAACCCTAAAGAATAAAAATTTTGTTATATATATGTTGTATATCTAATACCCCTATTATATGCAACTTTATTAATTGATATTAAATGAGCTGCATACAGCAACGATATTAATTAGATAAACTAAGTATAAATGTAATTATTTAGGTAATTCAAAGATAGTGAGGGCACTAGAAATAGATCGTAGTATAAATCCTCATTAGCTTAGCCATATATTTGTTAAGATCAATTTCAATACATCTCTCATTTATTTACATAATTTATAAAAATTACTTCATTTGATTTTTATTTCAATTCATATGCAAGATTGATTTTCAATTCATTAATGAACAAGTTATTTCTTTCAACTTTTAATTTTATTGTATTATTTTTTTAATAATTAACTCTTTAAATAGAATTATTAATGATGAATGATATAAATCAAGTTTTAACACTTTAATTTAATTTGAGATTTATTGGTTGATGTCTCAATAAGGCTCTTTTGAGTAATAAATTACAGCAATTTACAGAAAATCAATAATAATAATTTAGCTAATCAAATTAAATTAATTACAAAAATCCCTAATCTATCAATAAATAAGCACTATATATGATGTGAATACATTCAATATTTGGAGCCTGATATCATTAAATTCTATATCTAAGAGTAAAACAATTAGACTTTTAATAAAATTAAAACTTTAATCAACTTATGCAATTATCATAGTAATAAACTGATTAAAGTTACTATTAAGCACCTTTAATTTCTTTTGTTATTAACAATATAAAGAATATTATTTAATTCGTATTAATTATTATTGAATAAAATAAACTTTAGAAGTGTCAAAATCTACCAAATAAAATTTTTCTTTGTTGATTTTTATTAATGGATGATTAATTATAAGTATGATTCTTTAAGATTGGTTAAGAGAGCTACATTAAAAGACTATTATTAAATGAATTATCAACTCTTTAATCTAAATATCACAAAAATACGAGCTAATAAAATATAGAGAAAACAAGTATACAAAATTAAATTATTAAAAAATGAATGATATTTATAAAGAATACAACTCAAGAATCTTTGACCTAAATACTAACAAAAAGATTTCATTATACATTCCAAAAACCTAAAACCTTCTGGTGATTTATTAAACTTAAATGTGGTATACATTTATTTGAAGAAAAAGACTTAAAATATAATGCTTTCCTGATTATTATTTGATAGTTTAATAACAAGATTAGATACTTAAATGATCAATTCAAAAATAAAAATTTGAATCATATTTATAGAGTTAAATTAATAGTTTCAACAATTTTATCTAAATGTTTATTTTAACTTTAATAATCATTATCAATTGTATTCTATTTTAAAAATAAGCTTGTTATTTATATTTTAATTATAATTATCTATTAGCCATGATATCCATCTTTATTGATAATTGTTAGTATCCTTTTATAAATTTATTTTTCCAATTATCTTGTAAGATTTGATCAATGATGCTTAATTGGCTTAATCTCAATTTTAAATGATTCCAGAATACATAGAGTTAGTAATTTAATTATATTAGATTTGTATTAAAAGTTAAAAAAAATAAAAATTGAGATGTCAATGATAATTGCAACAATTTGAATGCACGAACTTTTGAAATAGTTCCTATTTGCTTTCTAAAATGATTGAACAAGCAGAAAGTGTGTTTAAGACTCAGTAGCAATCTAAAATAGCCAAACTGGCAAATCTGATAGTAAACTTTCAGAATATGATGGCTGCCTTCCGCTTACTTCTTGAAACTGGATATTTAAGATGAACTTTCCTTAAAAACTTGAATAACCAAAAGAGGTACTTCTTCGACTTATGTCCCCAGACAATTAACTTTAAGTATTTGGAGTACTTGCTAATCATAATAAATCCTTTTCTTAAACATATGGTATGTATTTGAAGATTATGACTTTCCCAAAGTGATTTAAATAGATTACATGTCTGCAAGATAACTTTCCTATAATTAAATGAACTAGCTGGAATTTTCTTAGACTAGCTATGCAAAGTATCTATATAATAAAAGAAAAAGAGTATTTGAATAAATTGAGCCAAAATGGAATCAATCACTTTGAATGATTAGAAGATATAACAATTACGATAAAAAGACCTAATTCAAAGATGACTGTTGATCATAGAGATTGAGATTAGCTGACATCTATTGGTCGAGATAATCACTAGATTAATAAATCTATCAGTGGTAGACTTAATTAGTCTATTTCTTCTAATGGAAATGAAATAATATCTCAGATTCTACCTCACATATAATTTGAAGTCTAATCTATTCAAATCAAATAGAAATTAATTAAGGAACAAAAAACTATTATTTTTGTACTAATAATAATTATAATTTTAATCTTATATATACATTGCTAAGCATAATAAAGGTAGTGAGTCTGGCAATCAATTATTCTATGATGGTCGAACAATTTATTTCATTACACATCTTTCTCCTTGCCTGTTTCTAAAGCCCATAATTAGATGCTGAATTATAACAAGTACAATCAAAGTAAAATAAAAAAATGTTTTCCTTTGGGATCTTCCCCCATTTCGGTTTTAAATTAAATATTTCAAATAATCAAATATAGAGATATCAAATGCTTGTTACAGAACTTTATTTTCAAGATTTGACATTAAAAAATAATTTGTAAATTCCAATCCTCAATAATCTTTATTTTCTTTATTAAAGAAGGATTGATTATGAAGAAAAAGCCATTCTGGCTTGAAATATTTACATCTCTTCAGCACATCCTATCTCTCCTAAATCCCTTATTATAGTTTAATTCGATTATTGTCCCCCAAGCTACGAAAATTTGACCCCCGAGAACAACGAAAGATGCTTACACTTTTCCCAACAAAAACTTAAATGAGGTTAGATATCTTTGTCCTAATTCTTTTTTATTCATTGAGTTTGTAAGGAGGAAACATTCCATCATAGTTGAACTTAGTCCAATAATTATCTTCTAAGAAATAAATGGTTAACTATTTTATGAGTTCCCATATCCAACATCCCTTTGGAATGAGTTAAGGCGACTCTTATTCTATTCCTACTAAGGATTTACCTATATATATAAAGAAATAAGGAGAAAGGTCTTAAAAAACAAGATTATTAAATCTTATTGTTATTTTTATTATTTGATTATAGTTATATTAATTTGACTAGACAATCTAAAAATAATGCTAAATATTTTTTTGATATATTCTCGATTTTTCGAATATTTATACAACTACAAAATATAAATGACATCCTTAATGTTTATTAAATAACAATTACTCAAGGCCTTCAACTGTTTCCTTAAATTTAGAATTTTATTAAATCTAAATCTCCAGAACTAAAGATATAGCTTTTATTTCTTATTATAAATCTTAAATCTTAAAAGTGATATATTTGGAATTTCATGTGAAGATGAATAATACCGAATTATTTGGGTTAATAATTCTTAAGAACTACAACTCAAGAAGCCTAAATGGAAATAAATCAAATAATCTTAATAACTTAATTTCAATCAATATTCATATAAGTTAGATTTATTTTAATTGAATAACTGGATAATTGCTATAAAAAATCTAGAAAATAATAAATGATACTTAATATAAATATTTATTAAGGATTGATATCATGTTGGTTTAATATGAATTAATTGACTTAATTATAAATACTTTAGAAGAAGTAAATTAATATCAATTTTTGATTCAAATTAAATAACATCAGAAATGATGACAATAAAGTTCAAACAAAAAACTATTAGCCCTTGCGCTTGAATGAAAGAGAATACTAGAATCTTTTTTTTAAGATATAGAAGTTATCCTTCAACTAAATTTAATGATTAACTTAGGCGATGGAGCAATCAGTTATTTGAATTAGGATAATTAATAAACCGGTTCTTTTATTTAAAATTAATATTTGCTTATGAATTAAAGCAAGACTGTCTATAAACAGAAGATGTGATTTTGGTTATTAATTAATTTTAAAATAAAGTAACAATCCTGATGAATTTATCTTTTATAAAATAAGGAATCTATATTTTCAAATTATAGATATAGATCGAGCGTTAAGTTATTTAATATAGTTTATGTAGAGTTTAAACACTTACTATTGCCTATCAATGTAAATGTTTAAATTTATCCTCTAATACTTATGTTTATGAAGGTGTCTTATTATTAAGTCACTTAGAACTTTTAAGCTAATTTCTGGGTGAAGATGCAAAAAATTCAGTGATGTAACCAAATAGATTTCAATTAACATCTAAAACCAATGTCACTTATCACAGAGGCAAATTTATTACATAGAGTTTGCTTAAATAAAGAATTTCAGAATAGATTACATAATATTAGGTTATATATTCAAGAAAGAAACTTTGGATTAGAATTCTCATGTGGTGAAGAGGCTAAATTAAAATGTAAATTATGAAATTAAGGTCAGAAATTCTACAAGTTGATTTTAACTTATAATACAATCAATTGAAGATTAATATAGAGTCTTGTTTGAATCAGAAAATTGCAATTTAACTAGCGAAATTGTAGCATAACATAATAGTTTCGTCCTTATTACTTTGTTTCAAAGTTTACAATCTTAAATTTAGCCATGATCAAAGTTATATTGTTTAGTGTTATGTATGTTAAAATATTTCAATAACTTAAACAAATTATAATTCATATTTAATAAGATGAGAATAACTCTATAGTTCTATAAAAAATCTTCAATCTAGAAAAAAAGGCTCTAAAAATGATAATCTCAATATTTGGATTCAGAAATTTATCTATTATTCAAATATTTAAATACAATATTTTTAGTAGTTAGATAAATCAAAGAAAAGATATTGTAAAAATGAACTATAAACTAAATGATAAGGTCATTTCCAATGCATATAGCTCAGCTCAAGCTTTTTAAAACTATGATTAAGTTTTATTCTGTAAAATTATTTTCTTATCCCTCAAATACTATAATAATAATCAATGATTGATATTGCCATATGTTAGAATAAACAGCTAATTTTACCTAATCAAATAAGTATTATTTAATGATAAATATTAAACAACATCTTTATGTTAAATAAAATGGTTAGAAATTCCAACAAGCCTTAAGGAGTATATATAATTATATATATCTAATTTAAATTGAAATCGATTAATTATGGTATCTAAAAGAATGATACGCTTAATATACATATATATACCCATAAGCAGATTTTTTAACAAAATCGAAGACATACTGCATTAATAAATTACCGAAAACTATCTTTATGCATTATTAGGGATTTTAGAAAACTTTCATTCTACTCCATAAATACTATAAGAAACTTGCCTATTAATTTAAAGATTTTTCTATGTTCAGTTGGTTTAATTATAATAGGAAAACCCTTCATACTAACAGTAATGATCTTCTTTTATGATTGGCCAAGGTAATTTAGCTATGCCTTTTATTTTCAAGACAATAACAACCTTGTTTAAATCAGAAAGTTTTTATAATAAACTCTTTAAAGTCTTGATAGACATGCTTCTGAATAAAATGTAAGGAACAAATATTATTTTATATAGAATAACGGATATTTTTCAATAATAAAATTTAGATTAAATATTAGAATTGCTGGTTCGCTTCAACCATAGTTCTGATAGAATAGTATAAAATGGAAATGAACAGAAATAAATGTTCAAATAAATCAATTATTAATATTATAATATACTGGTATTCAATTTATTGATTTTTTAATTAATAGAATCAGAAATCATTTAATCAATAAAACTATTTAGATTATTTTAATTTAATAGGAAATAGCTATTAAATTCCATTTTTTCATACCATAAAATGATTTATTGGAAAATAGAAAATGGAAAACAGATGTGAAGGTAGATCTAAATTATGTTTTGAGAATTTAAGAATTTTTTTTAGCCTAATATAAAATTACAAATGATATCAATAACTATAATCTATCATTATTTTAGAAATAAAAAAGGTATAATATCTCACGACTTCTTTATTAATTATTTGTCTAAATTTTTGTTAGATTAAATCAATTTTTTTATGCATAATTAAAGAAATATGATTTGAATCATTCTTAGAAATTAATTAATTTCTATCATCTAGCTTTACAGTTCAAATCTATTATACACAGAAAAAAGGTAAATCATAAAAAGAAATGTAATATTTTATAGTTTTGATTTTTAAATGAAATGACAATATTTTCTTTGGCTTAAAGCTATTTAGGACTATCTTATCACAAAATCATTTTCAGCATGAGAATCAAAATAATTAAATGGATTTCCAAAAAAGATTAAGATAAACAATCCATTTAAAATAAAAGATAAATAATCTTAATATGGTAAGTCTTGATTTTCATTTTTAGCAAGATCCCTAGCAGATATCAACATTAGTGGTACCATAATCAGGCTTGCTTCTGAGGATAATGATCCTGAAACGACCCTAAGGATAAGTAAAAGCTGCTAAAATGCTAGAAGATGGCCTTCCTTTGACTAAACAAGAAAATCCTGAGAAAGACTGATCATCTAGATTTAAAATTAATAAAAATGTTAATTTAAACTTGATTAAATATTTCTGGCATTATTTTTTAATCATTGCTATTAAAATTCTTTGATTTTTTATATTAATTTTAATTCTGATATTACATCTAAATCAAATTTATTTTTAATTTTTGAATGAAAAATTTTTTTATTTTTGTTGAGGATATATATTTTTGAGACAATCATCAATTATAGATATCTCATTTAAAAATTAATCGTCCCTTCCTTTCTATTTTTATACAATCTTCAAATTAACATTTTTTGCTTTATTTCATCAAGATACGTTTCTAATCAAATATTTTAGTGATGAGCTGATAAAGTCTATCCAGGCATATATTTATAAAATTGATGATGGCTCTACTGAAAAGTACTTCTTTTACTTTAGGAATAATATAAATTGATTTAGAGCATAAATTTCAATTAACTAAAACCATTATGTAAATTAGAGATTTGCTTTTGTTGTTTTTTGATAGATTATTGACTTGTTAGATTTCCATCGATTTTTGTAGCAATATTTAAAATACATCTACTACTAAAATACATTTTAATCTAATAATTAAGAAAAATTCTAAGTTTTTTTAATTTGAATACTTCTCCTATTAGTAAATTTTTGTGAAAACTAAGAGTAAATACATGATATAAATAATTTTTGAATTAAGTTTTATTTAAACTATGGTATTTCAATAAAATAAAAGTTGATTTGAAAGTATTTTTAATTGAGAGGACTAGGTTAAAGGTTTTCTCTATTACTATAATTTTTGTATTTAAGTTAATATTTCTATTTTTGATGCATTTCCAGTCACTGTGATTGACAAATTCTTCAATTTAATGTATGCCAGCTCCTTAATCATAATGATGACTAAGCTTAGAATGTCTCAAGTCAAGGTAATTGAAATGTTATAGAAATTAAAAAAATTCTTTTGTTTTATTAAATTCGCTTTTTTTGGAACAATACATGGGTTAATTATAGTTTTTTGTCATTCAATAATTTGAAATAATCGCTCTTATGTTAAGTTTTGGTAGGGGATAAATACTTTAATTAGATCTACTCTTTATTAACAATGACTACATGTAATGGAATATCAAATATTTCCTCTAATTTTGAACTTTGCTTAATTTATCTTCTTAGAACATAATAAAAAATCTAGAGCTTAATTACACAAAACTTATTTATGAAAGTTATGAAATTTACCCTCCTAAATATTTCATCTAATGAGCACTACTTTAATGATGGAAATAAATGTTTACATTTTACAACAATATTATAATTTTATTCATAATCTAATTTAATTAGAGATGTATTATAATAAGTTTGATGGTTATAAAAAGAGAAGCTTTAATTAAAGTTATAAACTGTATTATACTATTCTGATGTCATATTGAGGAAAAGATATAAGTGTAGGATATGAGGGATATATTTGTTTTGATAAATCTTTATGATGTTTGGAGTCGTAAAGACTAACATTTTAGAACATAAAAATAATAAGTCCATAAATATTAGCTGTAAAAGATGAAAAATATATAGTTATATCGCTATAATAGAATGAATTTTTTTTTTAAACCTGCTATTGTATGTCATTTTGAAGAGGCTATAATATAAAAAGATAATCATATATATTTACAATTCTAGTTTTCATAAAATTTGAATATCTTTCAGTAGAAATCACAGAGCTATTTGGCAGAACCAGTTAAACCTTTAACATTTTTATTTTTTTGATTCGCAAACAAGCAATTTTTTAGTAAATCCCAGCTAACAAATGAATATGGTATAAATTTATAACATTTTTAATTATTTTCTTAATCTATTTTATAAGTGAAACCAATCGGAAATTATAAGAACTCTTTAATTTTTACAATGATTATTTTTGAGGGATAGATAATTATGTTAAAAGTTTAAGAAGATTAAAAAAGATATCATATTGATTTTCTACTGTAAGAGGATGTTTATAATGTGATGATAAATCAGGATAATTTATATTCCTAAAAGTTAGCCTTAAAAAAATAACTCCATTTTTAACTTTTGTTTGCCAATTTTCATTAGCTTTTCATCGTAACTCTGCTTAATTAATATTGGATTTAAGGATTTTTAATTTACATAAAATAACTTTTTATTAGAAGATTTCAATCTTGATGAGACAACACTCATTATTTTTTGATAAATCGCATTTTGACTTCTAATAGAAAAAATTATTTAATGCTTAAAGGAATATATTAAAATAAATATATTTTTTAACATTATTTTGTATTATTTCAAACTTAATATCATATCTTCGAAGTCAAATGGGAATATTTTCCAATATTCTTACCTTAGAACTATGAAGACATACACAAGGATATAATTCTTATTATATGGATGTGTCTAATTCCAACTACTAAATATAGATTTGATGGTTACAACAATTTCTTATGCATTATTCTATTTTGTCCATTTAATGTATTTTAATTCAATACTTACTTCTATTATTATAATATCATTAGTAGCAAAGGAGAATTTTGATAATGGTCTCTTATTTATTTCGTTTTAATGATGAGAATAAGTATATTGATCACTACTTATTAAATACTGTCTAATAAGATTTAATTAATTTAATACCCACCATTTCCATAACCAGAATAATTATTTTTTTAGATAAAATCTCTAAATCCAACTCCTACAAAAGCATAAGGAGAAATTTTAAGCATTTAGAATGCAAATTGTATTTTTCCAGTCTTTGAATAGCTTAATCGCAAAGACAACTATAATAACCTCCATTACATTCCACAACTTTTCCACCTTCACTTACTTAACAACTACCATGCTTGTTAGTATTTGAAAATAATAAAGATTTTGGATACTATATAGAATATACTTGATTAAAGTAATCAAGTTGTCTTTGAATTATTTAAATTTCTGATTCCTTTTGATTCAATCTTTTATTTATTTCTAAAATTTCTGTATTCTCTAGTCAATTCTAATTAAATATTTACTTTTATTTTCTAAATTTTTGATAGTATTTAGTTTATCCTCCTCATTCTACTTTTTAAGATTTATCATTTCTTCTGTTTGTTATTCAAATAATTCTTTGAACTTTATATTTTCTTTTTCTTATAATTATAATTTTGCATTTATACTATTGATTTGTTGTTAACCTAAAAATTAATTTTACAATACTTTCGTCTTTTAATTTAATTAGAGCTTCTTAATCTTCTTATTATTTTTAATCTAAAGACATTTAAATTTGATTTAAAAGGTTTGCATCTATTTTTCATTGATATAAAATTACTTTCAACTTCCAAATTTTTATTCCTCTCTGCTACTTTGATTAAATCTATCTCCAATTATTAAATATTACAAAATTTCTTTATTTATTTACTTTTATTATCGATAGTGATAGTATAATCATTTAAGACGTTAGATAGATTTTAAAATGATGCGTTTATTGATTCTGGTTTAATAACTTAATCTTTAGTCGAATTTTAAATTTTTTATTAAATCTAATCTATTTTATTAGTATGCTATTAATATAAAGTTACAGTCTATTCAAATAGATTTGATTAGCATTAATAGTCTTTAGCCTAATTAATCAATTCTTCCACATTATTAATAATTTGAATCAAGTCTTGATAATTATCATCCTTTTGTAATGTGCATTTAGAAAATTATTAAATGAATTCAGATAACTATAAAATTAAATTTTTTTCAACTTAAAGAGATTTATAAATTAATACTTGATATTTCTTTGAGAATGTCTAATGATTATTGTACATCTTATTGATAATACTATTTCAATGATTCTAAATGATTCTCAATTTCTTTTTTAAATATAGAATCTTGATTTTTTAAGTTAATTAATTATTAGTTTTAAGTTATTTTTTATTTATCAATTAATTATTTTAAATCTTTTAACAATTATTCATCTTCTAAAACCTAAATTGTTACATTATTTATTTATTTTGTTTATTTGCTTTTATCAAATGATTAAAACTATTCTGATATTACTTTCTCACTGATTTCATTCAACTTTTTATTGTAATTTTTTCTCATTGAAGCAATTAATTTGAATAAATCAGATTTTTTATTTTTGCTTTCCTGTTGATACTCTGATATAATTTTATCTGATTCTGAATTGTAATCTCTCCATTATTTATTAATAGATTCGATTGTAGAGTATTTTATTTATGGGTTCTCAGCAATGCAGTCAACACATGCAAACCTATCTTCAATTTTCTTATTCTAAGAGTCCATATCAATCATAATAATTTCTTTTTTATGATTAGGGCAAATTCTATTTAAACTTGGTGTTTTCTATTAATAAATGATTTACTCTTACAGATTCATTTTTTGTAACCAATAACGGTGGTAACTACAATATATTATTTTCCATTAAATCTTCAATTGTTTATTTAGTTTTCTTGAATATATCTAAAGTCTAGAAATATTCAGCATTATTAAAAAGTAATTCAAATTGTCTTGTTATTTCATCTATAAAATTATTATCTTCTATTAACTTAGTTGATTGTAATTTATTATCTTAAGAATATAATTCTGATAATTATTTTATATCTTCAAAGTAATTTAATTATAAGTATTATTCATGTAATTCTGATTTCTCTTTTTAAATTGGAAATATATATTATTATATTTGTTTATACATCTTTTCTAAAGAATCATCAATAGATCTTTTAAAGTCCATTATTTGATCTAGAATATTCTTATAATAGTTCAGTCTAGATTAATTCTCTTTAGTCTTAATTTCTTGTTATTAAGTCTTTATTTTTTAAATTCTTTCTTTTGATTGTTCAATAGTTGTTACTTTATTATTGTTTAATTTATCCACTAAACATTTGCCACAAAAAAATTAAATCTGCGATTTATCTGACATATCCAAATCAACAGCAATAAATTCCAAATTATGAATCTTACAAATTGTCTCTTAACAGTCTTAAGTTTATTTTACTTGCATGATATTAAATTTTTATTGATAATAATATCATATATGTTAATTAAATAATTAATATGAGGATATTTTCTAATTAATATAATTTATTTTATAATATAGTGTATGGAAATAGCAAATAATAATCAAAAATGATTTCTATAGACTTACACAATCAAGTTATTGGCTAAAAAATTTTATAATAATTCAATTAATATCTAAAAAGAATAGATTTTTTGAACCATTTTAATTTAAATTGAATATTAAAACATTTTTATGATAGATCAATTATATACAGATGATTATTGGGTAATAAAGTCTTACGAACTTGACTTTTTGTTTTAAAACCCATTCTCATGGTTTTGAACAATAAATATTCACCATCCTTAAAAACCTCATATATTTTTTTGAAATTTTGCATTTTTTTCATTTTGATTACTGATCTTGCTTTCTTTATGAACCTTCAAAAGTTTAATAATAAACAAAACCTTCTTAACCTAAATATAGGATTCTTAGCCTTTATTAATGTTATACTAATTTAATTCCAAAATAGTGATAACATCATCCTTAATGTGTTTTATATTAGTATTAATCTTTCTCTTGAATTTAAGTGTTTCTGTAGACCATATTAAATAAGAAATTTTCACTTTGAAAGTGTTTTTATGATCTAAAGCCATTTCTTTTATTATCCAAATAATTTCAAAAAAGAGAGGGTATCCTGTATCATTACTAACAAAGGTCCTATTTTATTTGCTAACTCCAATTTATTATGAGCACTTGAATTTATACTTCATTATTATTCTCAAATATTTAAATTGATTTTTACCTGTTCTGATGTTTGATTTGATTATTTTTAAGATTATCTTGTAATTTTTAACTTTATATAGCAATTCCAACTATTTTCCTTGTTGGGTGATTAATTAAATCATAATTGTCTTTATCAAATTATCAGCATCCTCCTTTTTCTCAAATTGAGCATAGCCATAAATATTTCTTTCCTTAATTGTCCCTTTGAATATCAAATAAAAGAATAGTACTAAATCTGTAAGATTCTTAATCTAATTTTAAAATACAAACTAATTTCATAATTTTATTTATTCAAATTAACACATGAACAACTTATGCTTGAACTAGTCTTGCAAATTTTTGATATATATGTTAGCTCTATTATTAGTAAAATGATAATTTAAGGATGTTTTAACTCTGATGTTAATTGTGAAGAAAAAATTCTTTTGATTTCTGAGTGTCTCTGTTAATCTTCAAGCTTTAAAATTCAAACACTTATTTAAATTTACTATAGGTTTATTTTAATTAAGTGAAGAATGGATATCAATTTAT